TCCCAGCACTGAAAAAAAAGAAAAAAGAATGTACTGAACACAATGTGCTTAGGGTAGACAGTTTAGAGCAATATTTTTAAAAGGTTGAATAGTTAAACAAGAGAAATAAGTTTTAATGATCTATTGTACAGAAAAACAATAATAATTCATTACATATTTCAAAATTTCTGAGATTTAAAAAGTTTTCTCCACAAAAATGTAACTGTGGGGCTGGGGATGTGGCTTAGTGGTAGAGTGCTTGCCTAGTATGCATAAAGCCCTGGGTTCCATTTCTTAGTACCGCATCAACAGAAAAAGCCGGAAGTGGCCCTGTGGCTCTAGTAGAAGAGTGCTAGCCTTGGGCAAAAGGAGCTCAGGGACAGTGTCCAGGCCCTGAGGTCAAACCCCAGGACTAGCAAAAAAAAAAAAAAAGTATCTGGCATGATAGATGTTGCATTGGTTTAATCATTCCACAATAAAGCACATATCAAAATACCACATTTTTACCTAAGAAACAGATGCAATTATTAGTTGTGAATTAAAAACAAATTAAAATGGGGGAGAGGGTGGAGTGTAGTTGTGGAGTTGGGAGGCAAGGGATGGTAGGGGAAAAACAAAGGAGGAGGCAACGATGCTTGATAAGAAATGTATTCATTCTTTGCTCATGTAACTGTAACCCCTCTGTACAGTATTTTCACAATAAAAAACTTATTAAAATAAACAAAAACAAATTAAAATATTTTACATGTGATGTCTTCTAATCACTGCTTATAGGTTGAGACAAGCCCAGAATTTTCTTATTCATTATTTTTCGTTGGATAAATATTTATTTACTATGCCCCAGTGAGTCTAAATCTAAGCCCCAGTGAGTCTGGTTTAGGTCATTTCCTTTATTCATTGTCACCAATGTGAAGTGCCTGTTGCTTAACTAGCTAGCACAAGGGAATAAGTCCTTGCTTGGCCTTGGATATCCAGAGGGATATCCAACAATAGTTAAATATTAATGCATGTATAAATATGAAAGAATCACTTCACTTTACCTAATAAAATGGAAAGTGAAAAGCATAAATTCAAACAACTATGTTGTTTCCTATTATAGGAATTTCCTTTCAACTCCCTCTTGCACGATTACATTAAATAGTATTTAATCTATCACACTAAGACTACTCTTCCCATTTATATTACTCTGCTACAATTTCCTTATTGTTTTTCTAAAATGTATGGTATTTTTCCTGTTTACAAAATGATTATGTATCCATGGAGAACATTTTAAAATAGAAAAATATGAAGATAAACCAGTACCAAAAATGGCTATTAATAGTTTAACACTTTTATCTACTCCTAAAGATTTGGAAGAAAACAGTTCGACCCGAAATGAAATTAGTATTCATTATGCTTTGTGTTTGCTTGAGTAATTTGTAGATTTTCCTGCAAAGAAGGGATGATTTTTGAAGGAGAAAAACGATAAAGAAAGATCAAACAATAGGATCTCTGTGTGTCTTGTTCGTCCAGATACCTCTAGTTCTGAGAACACTGGCTCAGCACACAGTAGGTACTCCAAAAAGAACTCTTTCTTTTCATAGCTAATACATTCACCCCAGAGCTAGGGCAACATGGTTACTAATAAACAAGGAATCACTCTGCAGTTTTGTACCCGTGTTTGGCCTCTCACACACTCCTTTTAGTAAACAAGAATATGCATATTTTTGTTTTTGATGGTGCTAAGAGTGTGAACTCAAAGTCTTGTGCTTGCTAGACAAATGCTTTACCACTTGAGTCATACTGCCCAAACACTGACTTCAACTGCAATTCCAAAGCTCGCACTCACTACCTATATGACCTCAGCAAGAAACAAACACTTTGCCTTAGCTTCCACATCAGTTAACCACTGTTACAGCTGTTGAGAGTATAACAAAACAAATATTTCACTTCTGTAGAGGAAGCCTATGGTCAAAACTTATGTCAAGTGGTGATGGTGTGCTATGGAAAAAATAAATAAATGCAAAGGATAGAAAACTATTCACCTGGGGAGGCACATGAGGCTATAAAGACTAGTTAAGAACAGCTAAAGGGTTAAAAATATCCTAATGTTTTTCAAACTTCAGGTTGTGATTAAATGCAATGATGAAATCAATTTAGAGATTAATCTACACTTTAAAAATGAAATAAAATACCAGAATGCACCACATGCATGAAGGTCAGCACTTGTTTTGCTTAACTTGTTTCATCTTATATACACATCTACTAGTTTGCGAAACAGAAAAGCTTGCAGAAAAAGATGGTTAATGCTATGGCAACTATGTGGTATGAGGTAAGAAGACTTGGGGAAAGGTACCTTAAAAAAGGCCTCTTTCTCTCTCCCTCTGCTCTCTCTCTTCCTCTCTCTCACTCCCCCGCCCCTCTCTTTTATCGGTCACGGTGCTTGAACTCTGGACCTGGGCGCTGTCCCTCAGCTCAAGGCTAGCACTCTACCACTTGACCCACAACACCACTTACAGCTTTTTCTGCTTATGTGGTGCTAAGGAATCCAATCCAGGGTCTCATGCTGCAAGGCAAACACTCTACTACTGAGCCACCTTCCTGTCCCTTTCCTTGCTCTTTCTCAGGGCCTTGTGTTTGCTAGGCAGGCACTCTACCACTTGAACCTCCCCCTCCCCTTTAGAAGGCCTCACTTAATTAAGATAATTCATGCCTCTTGTGTGCACCGATTTTGCCTAACTCAATTAATGTAGGAAAAACAAAGAGACAAACAGAAAAAAGTGCCCCAAAAGACAGAATATAGCTAGGAGTTTGGGGAGACATGCAAAACCAAACCAAACAGTTAATCAACTCAAGAAAGAAAACTGATGTTTTTATGATAAAAGAACCCCCAAATCATAAAAATAAAATTGTCAAATTCAATTTAACAACAAACCCCCAAAGCTAACAAAACATGGTGTACATACATGATTCTTTCCGATTACATGCAGGAAAATGATGACAGTCTCAGAAAGTTCTAAAATACCTGCTCTATACTTTCTTCTCTGATCCTCAATAAGGTAGACAATATAAAAACATTAAAGTCATGTTGTCTGGATAGATTTTTTTTTCTTTTTCCTTTGTTGCAGAGCTGAGGACTAAACCCAGGACCTTACACTTGCCCAAGCAAGCATTCTTCCACTGGGCTAAATCCCCAACCCCTGGGAAGATTTATTTTCTTTCAGTCTTTTAAACATTGAGTAAGTTTTAGAACTCATGCTCATGAAAAGTAAGTAAATTATATTAAAGGGAGACAGAAAATTATTTACCAAGCTTCTTCTTACTGAGCATATGAACTTCTTATTGAAGCAAAGCTGTACAAAGAGAATTGTTCTACTACAGCTCTGAACCAATTCTAGTCCTTTGGTTAAGTGTAACCCACCCTGTGTTTTTGTGTGGCCTTTGAGTGGAGCATGATTTTTGCATTTTCAAGTGGCTGGAAAAAAAATCGAAAGATGGCTTTGTGGTCCGTGCAAAGTGTATGAAGTTCAAATTGCAGTGTCTATAGCTTCACTGGCGAATGGCCAAGTTTATCCACATTGTGACTGATGTTGCCCTACAATACCGTTGCCCCCCACCTCCACAAAAAGCCCAACTATTTATTATCAGGCTCCTTTTAGAAAATGTTTGCCTACTAAGACTCTCCAACAGGAGGGATCTGGCTGGAATACCGTTCTGCCTTAACCCTCTTCCCTTCTCCAAGCTACTGCCTGAGCACTAGTCTCTCACAAGACTCCTGGACCAGACATGGAGAGGGGACATTGTAATAACGAATTGTACCTTATAGAAAACCAGAGACAATAAGACAGTGATTTTCTATATAAGGAAGTATGACTGGTTCTGTTTTTTTTTTTTTTTCCGGTCAGAAAAGCGGGCATCACAGAGGCACGACCGCATTTGAGCATGAAGGCACTTTGGAAAAATATCAAGGCAGCAAATGTTTCGGGGGTGCATTTGCAAGGGGTGCCTCTCTGTGTAAATGTAGACTGCAGTTCCCTCTGCTCCTAGGCACTTTGGCCGCCTCCCCTCTGCTCTGGGCCTCACTTTCTTCTCTCCATTCCCCTTTTGGTCGTACAGCCCCCCCCCTTCTCTTTACCCTTACATTCCAAAGCCCTAAGCAAGTAAAGGCCTCGTGCTGAGTCTAGCCCCCCACAGCTAGCCCAGCTTAGAGAGAGAAGATCACCCAGGGACCCCCCAAGTACTTGAAAAGAATGACTCAGCAGGGGTCTGGGCAGGGACAGAGAGAAACGCTTGGGCAGTAGCAAAAGCCCCTGAAGCACAAAGGGCGAAAACCAACATTTTAAAGACTCAAACATGCAAACAAAGGGGGATGTAATTTAAATCGACTTTGGTCTTTCTGACTCTGGAGGCCTCAGCTAGCACAGGCCGCTAGTTTAGCCTAACAGGGCGGCAGGCAGTTTCCCGAGATAGAAAACGCCCATGGCCTCTCCAAAAGATTCCCCTGGGCCCTAGACCAGAGTCGCCTCCGTTCTGGCCGGCCTCTGGATGGGAACCTTTTTTTGGGGGGGAGGGGTACAGAATTGCGTGTCGGTGATTTTGGGGGAGACTTTGAGGGCACTGTAATCTCTCGAGAATAGGAACCATTTTCCTCTCTTACTCAGAGATTTTGCTTGGCTAAGCTGCAGCAGTCTCCCTGCCCCCTCCAACCCCCACCGCTGTTGCTGGGCTGCTTCGAGCAACCACGCCCCGCGGGCCCCAGGGCTGGCCGGCCTTGGGGCTCACGGCCCCCGCGCAGCCTGCACACACCGAATCTCCATCCGCCCCACCCCCGCGCGCCCCCATCCACCCCCGCGGCCAGCCCTGGGAGCGCCGGGCGAATCCTCGCGCCTGCGCCTTGCTAACTTCCTGCCGCGGAACGTCCCACCCATCCTCTCCAAAGCCCGCCTCCGAACAATGCGTAAAGCCCACCCGCTGCCTGTGATTGGTGGTAACGGCTGAGTCGTCGACTCCCAGGCCCGCCTCTCCACCGCCTCTCATTTTTCCCAGGACCGCTGCGCGTGCGCTCAGCTGCCTGGGCGGGCTGAGGCGCGGGTTGAAAAGTCTCGTTCCAAGTTTGGAGAGAGAGGGAGAGAGAGAAGAGCGCCTTAGCCCTCGGTACTCGCTAGCGGGGAGGAGGCAGCAGAAAAGGACGCAGCGTCTGGGAGCCCCCAGACTGGACGGAGCTCCAGCTTCCACAGCTAGGAGTGTGTGACGCTCCTCGGAAAAGCAAGAGCGCCAGTAATCGGGCTGCTCTTGGCTAGCGAAAAGAGTCCGAGGCGGCGACGAGGGGCGAACAACACGACGCAAGATGGCGAGTAAAGAGAGTAAGAGGCCCATCCGGGTGGCGCGCGCCGGAGCTGCGGGGGGCGGCGGGCGCTCGAGGCCGCGGCACGCGCCGCTGAAAGGCGCGAATTGGCGTGAGGAGGAGGGGGCGGGGCTGGGCGCGCGCCTCGTGGGGCCTGCGCCGGACCGGGCCTCCTTGCGGAGGGCCCCGAGCACTTCCGGAGCCGGGCGCGGGGCCCAGGGTAGGCCCCCCTCCCCCCCACCCCTCCCTTTGGCAGCTTCGCTCCCTCCAGCGCCCTCAGCCCCAGGGCGGAGGCGGTCAGTGCTGAAAAACGATCACGGTGGCTTTTTCCGCGCGCGCGTGCGCGTGCTCGTCATCCGCTCCGGGGTCGCGGCCCTTGTCCGGGGGGTGGGGGTGGGGGTTCTGGATCCTGCCAGTCTATGGCTGCCGACGCTGGCGTCGTGCAAGCTGAGGCCTCTCCTGATGTGTGTGTGGGGGGGAGGTTGGGGGGGAATGGAGGAAGCAGCCCTACGGGTTTCTGCTGCACGTGGATTTGCCTTTTCCTAGTGGGTCGTGGAGCCCCTTTACGAACAAGTCGTCATTTTAGAACAGGTGCGAACGGCTGTAACCGGCCAAACAAATCTCCATATCCAAAAAATGAATAATCCAATTCGTTTCACGCCGGAGATACTGATCCCCAAAGTGAAAAATAGAAGCTTCCTGGTGCTTGTGTTTTCTCCATGTTCTCAAAGACCAGTTAGTTTTGCCCTTGTCCATATTATAAGTAAAAGGAAGGAATAGGTGTGGCCATCACGAGGTGACCTCCAGTATCTATGTACGGATTCAGACCTTGATCCCTCTCAGCCATTTAATCGTGTGGGCTTTCTCCAAATTTTCAGTGTTTGAAGATACTGTGGAGGAGCGTGTCATCAATGAAGAATATAAAATCTGGAAGAAGAATACACCGTTTCTCTATGACCTGGTTATGACCCATGCTCTTCAGTGGCCCAGTCTTACTGTTCAGTGGCTTCCTGAAGTGACTAAGTAAGGGTTTCGGACAACTTTTATTTTGCATAAAATTATCCGTCGTTTTTAAATTTTCTAGTCCTGGCATTTTATGCATAGAGCATCAACAATGTATTCAGCCCTTAGATGAGGTGGCAGGTGGTTTCCATCTTCAAAACTTACTGATTTATGAGAAGATTTCTGGCATGTAAGTGCGACATTAAAAAGAGGTAATCATGATGTTTGTAGGAAATACTGAATATATTGGACATTACTTGGAGTTAAGTGTAGATCTGAATCTCTGGATACTAGACCAATGCATTTCTTTAAAACTTCATTGGAAAATAGCATACATTGAGAAAGATAAACACATAAAAAGCTTATGGCTTGACAAATGTTTGGAAAATGAATAGAAATGTAAATCATACCCAAAATGAATGTTTTTGGTTTTTTGTTGTTATTTTAGTTGGCTTTGGTTTGTGTGTGTGTACCTGTGCGTACACATCTACATACCTGCCTGCCGGTATTGGGGTTTGAACTCAGGGCCTTGCATTCTAGCCTGGCTTTTTTCTTTTTTTGGGGGGGGGTCCGGTTGTGAGGCCTGAACTCTAGGCCTGGGTGCTGTCCCTCAGCTCTTCAGCTCACAGCTAGCCCTCTACCATTTGAGTCACAGC